AAAATGCAAAAGCTCTAATTGTTGCCAATTTTTGTTTTATTATTCGGTGCAGATAAGCAATGTTCCTCTGAACAAAACACCAAATGCTTTCTCCGACATTCAAAACCGATGGTTTCTCTTCACGTTGTCTTAGGTCGAGAATAAATCTGAGTCGTGGCGCCATCTATCGGACACATGTCAAACCTTTCGTCGGTGGACCTGAGTAATTCTGCAAATCAAGAATTGGGGGGAGAAGGGGAATATTTTTCAATTTAATTAGAAATTAATATTTTTAACAAAAGATTAAATATATTTATCGCTTTAATAATGACAATATTTTGTAATTTAATAAGAAATTAACCTTTTTAACAAAAAAAAAAAAAAAATATATTTGTCTCTTTATTAATGAGCATTAAATTTTATTTATTTGTTCCAGTTTGTGCAACTCTAATATTTTATACGTTTGAATTTTTGTTTCATTCTTTCCCAGCTAAATTAATTTTCATTTACGGTTTTTTTCCCCAAGAATAATTCAGTTTAAATTAATATTTGAATAAAAACAATTTTGACATTTTCCGTGTAAACGTATGCAAATGCTGATTAAGTAAGCTGGAACTGTAATACTTTTCTCACATTTTAAGAAAATGATAGCCTTTTTAAAATACGCCTTAATTAAATAATTATAATTATTAATTAAATAATTAGGGGTGAGAAAGCGTAAAGCTTCGGGGGGGGGGAAGGAAAGGAAAGAAAAAGAAAATAACCAAAAATCAAACGTAAAATACTGCAACATTGTAACAAACGTTTGTTAATCATTTGCGAAAAATTGCTTCAGAGGTGGGGATTTTCACTCTTATATTCATCTTTTAACATAATTTTTTTTACTGAAATACAGTTGATTCTGAGAGAATATGACGACAATAAAAAAAAACAAAAATATAATTATAAAACAGCTCTTGAGTAAAGCTTTCTACATATACACATTTTCTTAAAAATAGTTTTGAAAAGTTTAAAGGAAAATTTCTTAATCATCTGCTCAAATTTCCACAAAATTAATGATGGCGCTGTACTGGGAAGCTATTAACTTTAGTTAAAGGAAGTTCAAAGATCTTTTCTAACTTTAATTAAACGAGATTGTTTTAAAAATAACAGATTTTTTTTTTAAATTTCATCATTTAACGCTTTGTTATTAGAAATAAATATTCGTTGGTCCATTTGTATAATGACCTATATTTCGTAGGGCTGGAATTTGCTATTCAAGCCCTACAAATGCAACAATGCCAACCTTCAACAAAATTTAACTTTTTTCTGATAAGCATCTGACTGACCTGTTCTGAAGTTACCTGAGAGTCTAATTAGGATGTTATTAGTTCAGGTGTATTGTTGATTTTACATTAGTTTAAAGAACTTACATCCGAGGAATTCATTTATCGAGAATGGATCAGAAGACCGTATTAAGAGCATAATTATTTTGTACTGGTAGTTATTCTATCAAATGTACATTCTTATTACGCAGGAGTACATGGGCTTGTAGATTAAATGAACAAAGTAAAAGTATCTTCAGAACTGCCAACTTTATAAAAACTAACAGGCTAACAACTGCTCTTTTCCGTTAGTTTACGTATAACATCCCGATATAACTGTTTAATTTGTTTAACACAAATCAACTTTATTCTGTTTAGAACATGGAACATTTCCTAAATTTTATTTATAAAGAGCAGAGTTATGTCTGTTTCATTCCATTTATTCATGTTAGCATGACACGTTATATTTTAACTAAGAATTAACGTTGGAATTACACTCGCGGTAGAAGCCTCATTCACATCTTATTGGTTTCCAAGACATTAGCTCAGATTATTTATTTGTATAAACTTATGCAGGTCCAATAATTCAAATAAAGGTAGAACTCAGTTTCATATTCTACACAACGTAATTAAGGTATTATAATGCTGAAAATTTTGACATCTTCAAGGGCATTTTTTTATTGAGAGTGCTCAGTTTATTAAATGATAGCATCATTGTACAGATACAAATGATTTAATATTACATCAGACTCCTGAAATGCAAGTTTACGTCATTTATTTATTTATTTGCATTTAGTGATTTTAGTCCATAAATCTTAAATAAATTAAGCAAGAATTATAGTCATTAAACTCAATTAAAGCTGTAGGAAGTTTTATATATAGCTGTTACGTATTATAGCCGTATACAAAGCTCCATCTTTTAGCTCACTTGTGGTCGAACTGGCCGAACAGTAAGATATCTGGACACTGGTAGTTCGACCTAGTTCTAGCGAATGTGCTTCATGGTGGGTTTATGAGAGTTTTCAATGTTTTATCCAAGAATAACGTGTATATGAGTCGACTGCCCTTAAAAAATGGGCCACAAAAGCATCTCTTCTTTTATGCAGATAACTATCGTGGGTTTTACCGTAATCCGAATAAACTAACATACCCTATATAAATTGTCTTTCTTAGAGAACAAGATCGTCCTCTTATATTCATTTAAAGACATAATAATGTTAATGAGACTTTTATAAACTGAAATTGAGGACAAGGGCTGTTTCATAAAATTATAGACTGAGGCTTTTATCTATATCCCACTGTGAAGAATAATAATAAGTTTGCTAAATCATGGGCCCCTTTTACTTGCGGGGCTCCCAGACAGTGCCTATAGTGCTCATAGATTAAGACGGCACTGTTGAGAACAATGTGATGATGTTTTGTTTCAGGCTGCTGGTTGCAGGTCTTGTCATCGTCGACATAAATCGTCTAAGTAAATTGTGCGTATATAGTATATACATATATTTTTTTTTTACAGAAAACACGAATATGTAAGATTTTACGTAGAAAGTGCACCCGAAATTTGTTCACAGGGGCTTAGTTTAAATAGAGGTGACCTTTTAAGATCCTGCGAAGATCGCCGTTAGCCAAAGTGAGGTCAATGCCAAGAATAAGCTGAATGTTTTATTCATCAACTTATGATTATAGCGTTCGGTCTCGGCATACCAATTAATCACGAATAGACAGAAGAAGAAATATCCTGCTCAAGGAAGGAAGGGGGGGATAGTAATACTATGAACAGGGAAAAAGGGAGGGAAATTATCTGTCTGTTCTTGATTCGTAACGCGGACTGTGGGGAGGTGGAGGAGGCATTCTCTGAGTGGATTTTGACAAAAGCAGCTGAATATGACAGTCGTATCACCTGTCTGAACAGCAGGAGGCACCCTGTTCTGTTTTGTTTTGTTTTTTTTTTTTTTTTGTGCGGTTTTTCGTCTTACTCCTCCTTTCTGCAGGATAATCGTTTAGTTGTTTTGGCGGTTGCTGAGTCATTGTTCGATGTTTTGATTGAGTAAAATAAACGGTCTTATCTTTCTCTAGAATTAACTATGATACTTGAAATCGATTTTGAAAGAATGTCTAACTCGGTTAATAATTTTCCTAGAACGAATGAAATTCAAAGATTTAGAACATGAACTTTAATGGTAGTTGATATTTTACTCAAATTAATGACTGTTTGATATTATACGGCTTTTTCAAAAAACACTAAATTTCTTACTAGCATTCCTCTGGCTGATGTAGCGCTGTTTCGTGATCTGATCTTTCAAACAACGCATAGATATTTCTAAAACGCATAAAGTTTTTAATTTAAATTTATTGTTATATGTCAAATTAAAATTTTTACCATGGAAAAACTTTAGCTCATAATTCTGAAAAGAGTTCTTAGTTTTACTAAAAAGAAACTTCTCATATGGTTTGTGGCAACTCCATAAAATTTTTCTAAAATATAACGCAAAACTCGCATTGCATAATGTAGTAATCTATGTTACATTAGCAGATGTTCTTTGGCTTAAATGGTTGATTTTGAAATACAACCCCAATTGCCGTTATTTAAAATACACGCAAACAAATAAAGCAGACCCTGAACTTTTAACACAGTACTAAATTTATATATGGTACCTTACTTAAACTAAATTAAATGGTAAAGCACAGCCGTGCCTAGGTCACCTGAGGTAAAGCGGTATAAGTGCGCCTTTATATGCATTCAAATTAACTACAGTGAATCCTTTGTGGCGAACACGTATCTTAGATGAGCCCCTGCTAAAGTGAGCAGGATTTCTGAGAACGCCTTTCCAAAATAATCATTTCTGGATATGGTCACAATCATCTAGAACAGTGGGTGATCATCTTAGATTGATTCTAGGGTATATTAATGTATTTTATATTACACAAAGATATCTATTTTAAGTCATCGCCGTTAAAATAATTTTTAATCACAGCTTAATATATTCATAAATATTATTTATAATTAAAAAGAAGCACTAAAATACCTTTTTTGATAAACAGTATTGAAATAGAACAAATAGTAATACAATTAAAATAAAATACTGCACTAATTTTTTTCTAGCACTTTTTTCTTGCTCTTAACAAAGCAAAATCAGCAATAAATTTATCAAAGTCTACTTGAATGTTTAATTCCCATTGCACAGAATAACAGTGCTTAAAAAGTTTTCTTGGGCCAAATAAAGATTTTTCGTAATTTCATATTATTAAAAATTTGCTGTATCTTCTTTCTCCACTAGCAACAATTACAGACAACATTAGAAAAATTCTTAATTCAACTTCTTTGTGTTCTGATATGGTTGAAATAAATCCGTGAATTTTCTTTGAGATACATAGATTTGTAACTGTTTTGATGTCCAAAATTATTTGAATCACGTGTTTTTAAATTAGATATTACTGATTAAATTTCTGTATCATTTATAATATCTCGATATTAAAAGACCGAGTTATATCCCGCTTTACTTAATTTACCTAAATCCAAAGATATTGCTTTTGACAAATTAAAAATTGGAGATCAGAAAATATCTCGCTTATATTTTATATTTCCATTTTACTTGCGATATCAAAGATATATCATTTCTTTCATTTCTTCTATAAAAAATATTATTCTGGAAAAATTTTATAAAAAATATTATTCTTTTATTTATTGATACTTGAAAATCTAATGTATTTATTTACCTTTCTTTTTTATTTCTCTCCAAATTCTTATTTTCTCTCAACTGCTATAAAGAAAGAGATAGTTCCTTTCTTATATACTACCTGAAAGAGAAAAGTGCAGCATCATGAAATAGTGAGAAGAATGTGATGAGAATTCAGACAGACAAAGAATGCGTGTTTGATTAAGTGATTGTAATTTTAAAAAGCTAACGTAAATACAGAGAACTAATGTAGAGAGTTATCATCAGGAAAGTAGGACCACGTCTTGGGGCGAAACAAGAAGCAACCGTTCGAGGGCCAAATGAAGTCGACGTGCGGATAGTGTTCTGATGTATAAATAGTCATACGTTTTCAACCATATCCCCAGTTCATCCTCCGACTGAATCAGGCACAGATTAAGCAAGCGAATGCCAATTACACTGAAGTGACAAAAGTCATGGGATAGCAATATGCAAATATACAGATGGCAGTAGTATCACATAGAAAATGTATAAATGCGAAGTGCTTTGGCAGGGCTTTCATTTGTGTTCAAGTTATGCATGTGAAGAGGCTTTGACGTGATTATGGCCGCACGACGAGAATTAACAGACTTTGAACGCGGAATGGTAGTTGGAGCTAGACGCATGGGTCATTTCATTTCGGATATCGTTAGGGAATTCAACATTCCGAGATCCACAGTGTCAAGAATGTGACGAGAGTATCTAATTTCAGGCATAACATCCCACCAAGGACAGCGCAATGGCCGACCACCTGCACTTAACGATCGAGACCAGCGACGTCTGCGTAGAGTTGTCAATGTTCCCAGACAAGCAACACTGCGTCAAATAACCGCAGAAATCAATGTGGGACGTACGTGGGACGGGTCCGATAGGACAGTGCGGCGAAATTTGTCTTCCTTGGGCTATGCCAGCAGAAGACCGACTCGAGTGCCTTTACTGACAGCACGACATCGCCTACAGCGACTCTCGTGGGCTCGTGAGCATATCGGTTGGTTCCTAAACGAATAGAAAACCGTGCCTTGGTCATATGAGTTACGATTTCAGTTGGTAAGAGCTGATGGTAGGGTTCGAGTGTGGCGCAGACCCCACGAAGACATGGACCCAAGTTGTCAACAAGGCACTGTTCAAGCTGGTGGTGGTTCCATAATGGCCCGGGCTGTTTTTACATGGCATGGACTCGGTCCTCTGGTGCAACTGAACCAATCATTGACTGGCAGTGGATACCTTCAGCTACTTGGAGATCACTTACGGCCATTCATGGACTTCACGTACTCAAACAACGATGGGATTTTTATGGATGACAATGCGCTATGTCACCGGGCCACAATTGTTCGCGATTGGTTAGAAGAACATTCTGGAAAATTCCAGCGAATGATCTGGCCACCTAGATCGCCCGACATGAATCCCATCGAACATTTATGGGACATCATCGAGAGGTCAGTTCGTGCCCAAAACCCTGCACCGTCAACACTTTCACAATTATGGACGTCTATAGAGGCAGCATGGCTCAATATTCCTGCAGGGGACTTCCAACGTGATGATAGAACAGTGCCTGGCAATGGCAACACTGGAAAGTAAAGCAGAACTGACGAAAACAAGTAAATGACAATGTGCAAACAATTGCACAGAGAAAAGAGACCTATGCCCAAAAGCCTCTAAACAGATGCGACAGCGATCAAATTTCCCGAGCAGTGTCAAGACGAAGAAAGACAGAAGAGGAACACCTAGTACTGGTGTATCCAATAAACAAGAATAAGACTTTAGAAAAAGTCAAATAAAAACTTGTGCGGAACAAAAATCCCACAAAATTGAAAGTGAATATGATCAACATGGGTGGCGTTTTTATCGAAGTAGCAAGAAATGATGATAGTGCCTTCCTGCAGCAAGCAATCCAGACAAACGAGGCACTGGAGTAAGAAATGAATGTGAAAAGCCCTACAGAGTTGGATCCCAATATCATGCTGTATTATGTGAATGAAGACATTACCAAAGAAAATTCAGCTCAAATCATTCGCAAGCAGAACTGTGAATAAGAAAATGTCTCTAATAGGGTTAAGTTCTCGATGAAAGGACGATATGGAAAAAATTGGGTTATAGCTGTGGACCCAAATATCATCACTTTCATGACGAAAAGTCATAAAGTTAACTTGCAAGGGACTCGGAACATTGTGCGTAAATTCATTATAGCAACTCAGTGTTTTAATTGCTTTGGATGTTGACACACCAAAGCAGTTGTAAAGAAGAGCAAAAATGCTCGAAGTGGGAAGAAGGTTCTATAACCATAACAACAAAGAGAGCATTCTTTCATAATAAATTTTTAATTACATTTTTTTTAACATTTATTTTCCTTTCCTATGATTTAGCTTACAATGCAGTCTTTTGAGTTTCTGGTCTCATCATGAAGCCTAACAGTGTCAGTAAAACTGTTTACTTTTTATTTTTTACAGTGCTGTTTACTTTTTTACAGTACTAGTTCAATTAAATCATTTGAATAAACAGAACAAGTGATCATTGAAATCCTAAATCATTTTAGATAACTTTTGCCCTCTTAATTTCATAATTATTTTGAAGTCTCTATTCGGACTTTATCATTTCGAACTGAGAGCGCTCATATAATCTCAAAAAGCGTTAAAGAACACCCAGTTTAATTTAGACTTAAAAAAGATATATTTCATTGAAATTCCAGTCTTAGTTTAGATAAAATTTCTCATAAGCTTGAAACATTTTGTCCTCAAGGAAATAACAATAATGGTTTAAATATTTTATTCATCTGAAAATATAATATAAAGTGCAATTGCTGTTAATTCTTTTAGTGTTATGTTTGTAACTGAAACAGATGCACTCAAACATTCTACTCATAACTGTAAAAATAATAAAATCCAGATCAGAAGCTTAAAAATTCTGTCTTATAACTATTTTCTGCTTCATTTCAAAATAAATCTTGCCTTTGAATAGTAAAATGAAGGAAATGAATGTTTATTTTCTTCTAAAACTTTTCTTTCCTTAGAAAGTTAATTAACAATCATTAATACTTATGGAGCCGCTCAGATGGTATAGTGTAGTGACGGTGATTGCCGCACCGCTTGGCCCGGTTTCGAAATCCGAAGAAGACATGGATGTTTGTAAATGCGTAGAGTCTATGCGGCATGGAGGCACTCAAAGTGTATGGAGAGACTGAAGTCCTCTCGAGTAGTTTGGTGGTAGGGTAAGACAGGTGGGAGAACCTCGGACCAGTCCTCCGGGTGCTGTCCTTCAAAACTGAGGCGGGATAGCACTGATTAGATCAAATACATGAAAATAGACACAACAGCAATATCTTTGGTAATCGCTCATGCAATATCGCTCATGAACGTATATATACCAGTTTTTCTAACGTTTTAAACACAAGTTTTTAAAAAATTTGGAATGGTTGATTTTTTTCTGTGTTTTGATGAATTTAGCAACATGGTTAAAACAAAATATCTGAAGTGTCTCGCATTTATTGCGTCACACAGTTAAAAAAATGAAAGCTATTAAATTTTCAAACATCACTAGGATGCCATTAAATTTTATAAGTACCACTAGAACAACTTAGAATTTTGCCTCGCGACACAGAACCCAAACTTTCCACTTAAGGCCTGTTGAGGCTTTTTAAGGTATGGAATCTAAGGGTATGGACGGGGGGGGGGGGGTTTTTTTTTTTTTTTAAATTTTTCGTTGCCTCTTTAGATTACTGGATATTTCTTTCCCGTATTCTAGTTTGAGATAATTTTTTTTTTCTAGACCCTTGTATAAAATAACAGAAATGGTCACACATTCCAGCCATAGATTTTACTTTTTTAATAAAATGCCTTTTGCCATCCCGAATGGTATATGGTAGCTAACAAAGACTTGCTACCACGTTGTTGGTCTCGGTTTCGAAGTCTTAGCTAGGCATTGAAGATTGTGATAGCTAAGTCTTCACTGAGAGAGGACGCTTAAATTACTTCTTAAATTCTCTACTAATTATTTCTTTAATTGCCTGTGAGAATTAAATCCTCATTCCACAAGGAAAAAAGATCTTCGCAGATTACTAATAATTCCCTCGCGTTCTGCGACAAAAATCCATTGATGGAATTCCTGTTAGACCTGTGAGAAGAATTCTCCTGCGGATGGATCAGTGAGATGGACCTTCCAACCCTCTTCCTCTTCCACTAATTTATCATGAGGCCTTAAGAGTCGCCCTCATACCGCAAAGACGCTATCCGCTTTCAAACATCCATGCTTTCACCGGAAATAGAACCCGTGACCAAGACTACGGCAGTCAGTTTCCCTGTTCAACGTTAGGACCGGGAACACACATCTGTGATATCTAAAACAAACTGAAGTTTAAGGTAGCTAGTTTTCCCATGTATTTCTCCAAATTAATGATCCATTCCTAATGCCCTGTTAAGAATATGCAACGATTGGAGATTGACACAGAAGGCTCAGCTTCCGGAACAAACTACTACTCAAGCAAAATGGCTGATTTTATTTCAATTATTTTTTAGTCGAGGCATCTTGCCGCTATAAACGAAAATTTTAGTTAGTCTTTTATTTTCTTTAACCCCCCCCTAAAAAAAAATTAGCTTGCATTAGTTTTCCTTCTAAAACACGAATTAGAAGAGGTTTTTAAAATTTCGGCTGCTCATAATTTCCATGGAAGTTTTTCAAAACGACGCCAACTCATAGCCGAGGTTAACTTAAATAAATATTAGGATCCCACGGGGAGGAGAAAAAAAAAAAAAAAAAAGAGAAGAGAGTTTAAAAGTGTATTTAAGAAATAAAGTTCTTTCTCAGGGTGAGGAAAATGTCAGTTTAGTTAGCAAAATATTAACAATAAACAGAAGTTTGCGTTGCTATTTCTAGAAAACTTCTCAGAAGTTAGCAGACACCTTACTTTCTCCCCTTTTCGCAGCCCGATGGTAATGGGAGCACCGCCGCGTATTCCAGCCAGTTCGAGTCCCGAGGGCAGCTTATTCACGTCTTTCGCATAAAAAAAAAAAAAAAAAAAAACCAAGCTCTACAGTGACACCCACTAAAAGTGATGATGATGAGTCTTCACACAAGCTTTGGAAGGGGTCCCCTATCGCAGTCGCTTCAAGG